CTCGAGGGCCTATATATCTTTTATACTTTCCATTCGAAGTATTGTAATAGACCATGTATTTCTATATTCGTATTTTGAAGTATGGGTCGTGTCCTAAGTATTCTTATGTCTTAAGATGATGAGATTGTGACTTATTATTTCCTATTTCTTTATATGACACAGTTTTTAAAGACTATGTTATGTTTTGTGAGAAGTTTTAATTCCGCACTACTTTTCACTATGTTTATGTGATGAATGATATGAATGGGATTGTATAAGACCTCCGAGAGGGGGAGTACGCCAGTTATAATCCAATAATGTACCCTAACTTCTAGGGTGTGGTCTTGGGATTTGGATTGATCTTGAAATTATTCTGAGGATGATTGAGCAATATTAAAATGAGAGGTTTTAGAAGATGAAACCACCCCAATTACAGAGTGGTAAGAGTGGGAATGTGGAGTTCTTCATTTTATGCCATAAGATGATTGAGGTTATAGGTATGGTGAATGCCTGTGGAATTCTCTTTATTGGACTTTAGTTATATGGGTGTGCCAGAAAGTCATGGAACAATTTTGAGAGGTCTAGACAATTTGGATCTCCTCTTGTAGAGTGGGATGTATTCTCTGGTTCTTTCCGGGACCGCTTAATTCAATGGAGAGGAGATTTATCTAAGGTTTGAGAGCTTGACTCAGGGTAGTTTCTCTGTGACCGAGTATGAGGCCCATTTTTGTTAGTTATCTAGGTATTTTATGACTATTGTTTCATATGAGATAGAGATTTTGAACGTTTTTTAGAGGATTGACTTTCCTTCCAGTCATAATGAGCACCACCAAGGAGGTGGAGTTGATGGTTTTAGAGAAGTTTGGGGAACCCAATAAGGCATGTTCTTTTGGTTAGTTTTCTAGTGCTTCATCTAGAGGCAGAGGTTTACATAGAGCTAGTATCTAAGAGCAATATTAAAATGAGAGGTTTCCTACTTGACTTTTATTCGGAATACTAGTGTTGAGACATCTCTCATGTATTTATGCACGTGGTTCGAGAGTTTATAGATGTGTTTCCTACTAATCTTCCAAGTGTGATCAATTTTAGCTATTGACTTGAAGCCCGGCACCAAGCCCATCTCTATTCCTCCTTGTTGTATGGATTGAACTGACTTAAAGGACTTGAAGGACCTGTTATAGAATTTTTTCAGTAAGGGGTTTATTCGCACTAGTGTTTCTCCACGGGATACTCATGCATTGTTTGTAAGGAAGAAGGATGCATCTTAGAGAAAATTATTGATTATCGCCAATTAAACAAACTGACAATGAAGAACAAGTATCCTCTTCCTCGCATTGATGATTTGTTTTATCTTCTTAAGGGTTCATCTCTGTTCTGTACAATTTATTTGAGGTCCCATTATCATCAGCTGAACATCAGGCCTTCAATATCCCTATGACAACGTTCAGGACCCGACATGGCACTATGAGTTTCATGTTATGTCTTTCGATTGACTAACACCCCTGCAATGTTTATGGATTTGATAAACAGGGTATTCAAACCTTATATGGATTCGTTTGTGATAGTTTTCATTGATGACATCTTGGTATACTCCAAGACTGAAGAGGATCATGATCAATAGTTGCATATTCTAGTTCAAAGATTAAGGGAAGAGAAGCTATATGCCAATTTCTCAAAATGTGAGTTATGGGTCGATTATGTGGCATTTTTGGGAAATGTGGTGTCTAAGGAGGGAATTAGGGTAGATTCGGTCAAGATTAAAGCAGTGATGGACTACAAAAAGCCTACGTTGGTTACTGAGGTCTGAAGTTTTTTGGGACTTTTCGATTATTATTGATGATTTGTTCAGAGCTTCTCTAATTGCATCCTTTGACTATATTTACTCGGCAAAGTGTGAGTTTCCGGTTGTTTGATGAGTGTGTGAAGATCGTTCAAAAGCTCAAGACCTTGTTGGCTTCGACTCTTGTTTTGACTCTTTCCCAAGAGAATGTTGACTTCATCATTTATTGTGACACTTCTAGAGTCAGGTTAGGTGGTGTTCTGATGCAGAAGGGTATAGGTATCGCATATGACTCTAGACAGTTGAAGACTTATGAGAAGAATTACCCTATCTATAACTTGGAGTAGGCAATTGTAGTGTTTGTGCTTTAACCTATCGAAACATTATATCTGTAGGGTTTCCACCGATCATCAGAGTCTTCAGTATCTTCGGTCAGCGGGATCTAAATTTGAGGCAACATAGATGACTTGAACTGGTAAAGGATTATGGTATCACCAATCTTGTATCATCTAGGAAAGGCCAGTGTTGTGGTTGATTCCTTGAGTAGGAAGACTTCGAGTATAGAACTCTTGCCGTTATTAGTGTGGAGGGGAGACCATTGGCTAGGGATGTTCAGAGAACAGTCTCGTCTAATTACAGATTTATGAGGAGATGGGTGGTTTGATTGCTTTTATTAAGGCTCGCTTTTCCTTAGTTGAGCTTTTACATCACAATTCAAAAAAAAAGAGTCAACGTTCTCAATTTAAAGAACTTGGATATAAACATGAAATTTTCTTACATTAGATATACAAAATATTGAGCACTTTTTCTTTTCTTATGACAACAACTGCACTTATTTTCTTCATTTCTTTATATCTCTTTCCTAATCCATATTTTGATGCTATCAATTCAAGAGAAACATTTCTTGTTGCTTGATTGATATATGAAAGAGTTGAGAAAAGAAAAGAAACGACCGGATGTTTGGGAGAGAGAAACAAGAGGTGTATTTTAAGTCTGAATGGTGTAAAGACTCTTTTACAAATACGTTGTGCTCAAATATATTCAAACCTATTAAGGCTCATTCTTCCTTATTTGAGCTTTTACATCACAATTCACAAAAAAAAAAAGAGTCAACGTTCTCAATTTTAAGAACTTGGCTATAAACATGAAATTTTCTTGGATAAGATTCACAAAATATTGAGCACCTTTTCTCTACTTAAGACAATAGCTGCACTTATTTTCTTCATTTCGTTATATCTCTTTCCTTATCCAGATTTTGATGCTATCAATTCAAGCGAAACATTTATTGATGCTTGATTGATATATAAAAGAGACAAGAAAAGAAAAAAAAACGAGCGTATGTTTGGGAGAGAGAAATAAGAGATGTATTTTAAGTCTGAATGGTGTTAAGACTCTTTTACAAATATGTTGTGCTCAAATATATTCAAACCTATTAAGATATATTTTTAAAAAAAAATAAAACTAATGCACTTAATGGCTTAAATATGAACCATTCAAATTCAGACTTCTATTAAGTGTAAATAAATAAGGCCTTAGTCATGTACCTCCTCTCCATTCATCCAAAATCAATCATGTTGCGACTCTAAAAAGTCCTTTACACAAAATATCAAGTTCATGATTACAACATTATCAACATTCCACAAAATACATACTCTATCAAGTTCACCATTTTCGTCTACCCTTATTACAATAACTGTGGGTTTCATAGACAAATTAACATGCAACCTATCACTTTTTTCACATCAAACTAGTCTGAATCTTAAACATATCCCAAATAGTATCTAAATGTCACTACGCGCACACACTCTACACTTTTGACATTATTGAAATATTCATTCATCTGATCACAATGACCACAGACCTAATCATGTTGTCTCTTTCAATTCAATAATACATAGACGTCAATAATCAAGCTATACTTAAGTAAAAGTCTCCTCTACAATTTTCTTATGCTTTTTCTTTGTAGAATTTATCATGGGGCCGGTTCTAGGAGGAAGTTATCCTTAGATTAGGAGTTAAACTCCTAAAACTAACTTAACTTATTTTTTTCTTGCATCCTTCATTGTACTGGTTACCCTTTTGCTGCAATGCATACACTACAACGACCTCTTGATTGCTACATCATGGCTCTAACTATTTCAAAACGGGACTCATATTTGCAAAAAGAAATAATTCTTATGCTTGTATCGCGGAAAGTTCAATAACGATAAAATTGGCCAGTGCATAACTAAAGCTTTGTATATATGAACCCACAACATAGGCATACATTAAAACAATAAAACACAACCACCTCCATGTGTATATTATATAAATAACTTTGTTTGGGCATGAATCCTGAGAAAACCACATTCTCAGGTCCAAAATCTCAACGTACCTAATATTCATGTAAGCTAATTATCCAAAACTACTTTGTTTCTTCACTCATTATCTCTCAAACATTCCAAATCTATTCAATCGATCATTCTCAAGGTTAGCTATACATTGGACCCATCTCTAAAGTTTAGGCTTTTGTCGAAGTCAATTACCAGTTAGTGATGTGAAACTCAAAATGATTTACATGAATGGATTGCTCACAGACGAAGGAGTCCAAATATATTGAAAAAATCCAATCTTGACTTTGTCCACTAGGTTCAATACATTAAATGATGATTTAGGAACTTAGGGCTAAAATCCGCTTTAGGACGAACATTTGACATGTCCTGTTTTGATCTTAAAATTACATGGGGATCATGTAAATAACTCAAAAAATGTTAGGACCGTCATGTCAAAGTTTCATGGTGATTACACCTCTAAAACAATGCAAACCCGTAATATAGAACAATGTTGAAACATGGTCTTTGCAATCCCATAACTAGACCATGACAGTTGTTAGGGACTCGTGACTATCGCAGTCAGGTAGTCACAATGCATCATCTCACCATGACAGTTGTTAGGGACTCGTGACTATCGCAGTCAAGTAGTCACAATGCATAATCTCACCACAGTGTCTCTGCCGTGAATTGTGGCAATGTCAGCAGGAAAAAAAGATTTCTTGAAGTCGATAAAAGATCATATATTAAAGTGGTGCCTTTCACTCTCCTCTGTCAGTACTGTTGATGGAAGGTGGTGACTGCAACCATGATGCACCAGTCGAGAGAAAAATCTACAATCCATTTAGGTTTCAAGTGATCTGAAACTGACCCGAATCTCTTGGGTCTGAAACCAAATCAGTCAATAAGTCCTAAACGAAGAAAATAACTTGTACAATCTGAAAATACATAGTGATATAAAACTTCAAAAAAAGGATTGGAATGTTACAAGAAATTGGCCACATGTAATTGTAAAAGAACCTCTAGTGTTGGAGAATCCAAATTATTGATCATTAAAATTTTAACAATCAACACCTTGAGGTAATAGACAACACCCTGATTTCATGGGGACCAATCAAAATACTAGGTATGATGATATTTGAGCACCAAGCACATGAAGCTAAATAATCTAGAGAATTTTCAATTTTTCGAAGCTATTGTTCTACTATTATACAATCTACACCGAATTCAATTATGACGCCTGAAGAGATTTTGTGGTTCCCAAAGAGTCCATGAAGCAACACCTCTCTTCTTTGCCATTTTTCGAGTTAATATTTCAGTAAGCCTCAATTACAACGAGCTACCACCTTCATACTCTACTATCTGCTTCTGATGATCCCTTTGACTAACGGTTGTAATTAAACTTAAAAATGGACAGATAGCTTTAAGGTTAACCAAGACACTAGATGAACGAATAAATATTGCATTTTCAACTCATCTCCTTTAAGTCAACTATCCAAATAAACACACCAGACAAATCAGAAGTTGTCACGCCATAGATGTAACCCGAACAGAGTGATCTGCAGATCCAGTCAAGAAGATGGGTGATGTCGGATGCCAGTCTACTGTTGTTATAGATGCACTATGCGGAAGAGTTCTCATCCCATATGCATGACCTCGCACCTGATACAATCAACAATCATTTATTGTTAATAAATTTAACTTCAGTAAACCAACAAGGCAAGAAATAACAGTAACTGGAAACAAACAGGGGCCATAGCAAGGACCAATGAAACTACATCTTATCAAACTCCCCTACGACTTGTGAAATCATATGAGCACTGCTAGTCCCAACAGAAGTTATCAATACACGCATAACAACTAATAAAAGAGAGATCCAATTGGTTTACTGATGGGACAACTTTATGTGACTCCCACAAATGATTGTTCCATTTTCAGTTAAGAGGCTAACTAGAGCTTATGAACGTATAGTTAGGTACTGATACCATCGAGGCAAGGGAACCTAAACACATCATTCTGCATGAAACTAGTTTACCTGATATATAGGTGCCCTCAGGGAGTTGGATGTCACCAGAAGTCTTCTTCCATAAGCATCGAGAGCCATTTCATGTTTATAGTGTGACGAACTCCTAAGGTTACAGAATCTACAATACAGGAACGATAGATGTAAAGCATATTATTCTACAACAAGACAGGAAAAGAGAACGACTATCCACTTGGAGAACAAATTTAATGGGAAAAGGAAAAAAAATATGCTGCTTGATAGAAAGTTTTACTTGGTGCAGCCACGATGATTCGGCAGCAGGACCAATCAGACAGTGTGGGAAGAGTTTGGTCATCGTAAGTTAATTGCTAGCGCACATTGGAAAATACAAAGCCGGTGCTATCATGCAAGCTAACCAAAATAGCCCTTTAAGACTGTTCAATTAATTATCATGATCGGTGAGGATTGTGATAGCTCCAAAGGACAGTTCAAGTATACATATGAACATTGATTAGATTGTGCCATTATGAAAAACTTGTGGGGGCTCAACCAACAGAGCGATTTTGACAAGGCACTAAGATAATGATTAATTAACAACTAAGATGATTGTACTTGTTTTTGTGGATTTTAACATAGATTTGAATCCCCAAAGTTATATTTGGCGCAGCCACAATCATTCTGCACCCAGTACTTTGGACGGCGAAAGGCGACAAAAGGCAACAAGGGTCTGCCTCGCACGCGGCGAGGCGCTTGCCTTTTTGAATCGAGGCGCCAATTAATACCAAAAATAAAATACATTGAATTCAATCAATTCACTGTTTATGGGCAAATGAATAAATAATTATGAAAGAATAAATTTTTAAAAAAAATTATAGGCAGAGCAGTAGGCAGTGAACAGAGGAAAAAACTAGAGCAGTGAAGTATTAAAAGAGACGAAAAAACAGAGCAGTCAGTAGTGAAGGAAAAAAATCAGAGCAACTTGTGTATCTCAAAAAGAACTGAAAAGATGAAGAAGAGAACTCAAGAAGAAGAACTCAAAAGATCAAAAGAAGAAAAAAAAAAGAGGTATACCTCAGTGCAGCAACTCAAAGATGATGGAGTAGTCGACTGTCGAGGACCAGAGACGCGAAGAGAAGAGGAGCACTGGAGCAGCACCTAGACGCGAGGGGAAGAGGAGTCGGGGAGAAGAGATTGTGACTGGAGCAGCAATTAGATGAATGTTTGAAAATAGAAAAAAAAACTAATTTTGACTAATATTGTTAAGTCAAATCTTTTTAAAATTTTAAAATCAAAAAGGCGCCGCCATTTTCGCCATAGCTCACCTTTTCCGGATCGCCTCGGCTCAGTATGGAATAGCGAGAAGGGCGATGAGGCACTCGCCATTCACAACACTGTCTGCACCAGGCCCAATCACACAATGTGAGAAGAGCTTGATTAGCAACAGCACAAGTTGACCGCAACCACACATTGGAAAATTCAAATGTTTGTGCTATCGTGCAAGCTGATCGGAATCATATTTAAGGGTAGTGTGGTTAATTATCATGATCACTGTGGAGGAGTGTGATAGCACTAAGGACAATTTCTTGTTTTATGAGTATGGTGTAAGAGGAAGCTTTTGCACACCTTGACTGATTCCACGGGATACATGCCACGTCCCTCCACCAACAGGTAAGTAACTCAGTCCACCAAGGCTAGGATAAATGGGAAGAATCACCTCGTATTTTTTGTCTCCACTGAGTTTTGAACTCGAGACCTCAGAATTCTCAACCACTTCATTAACCACTAAGGCATACCCTTGGGTGCCGCTGAAGGACAGTTCAAGTATAAATACAAACACTTAGTTTTGCCATTTTGGAGAAGGAAGAAC